AAAGAAGGAAACCTGGTGACAGATACAGATAGCGTGCTGAGGATGTGGAAGGAGCATCTTGAGAAACTTCTGGTATCAAATAGTAGCAGTGAAGTGGATACCCCAGAACCAATAATAGATGACGGCATAGAGTGTATACCACCTAGCCAAGATGAAGTCAGAATAGCAATCAATCGGCTGAAGAATAATAACGCAACAGGTGCCGATGGGTTACAAGCCGAACTTTTCAAGACTGGTGGTCAGATGCTGGTAAGGAGCATACACCAGCTGATTAGTACAATTTGGCTAGATGATTGGAACCTCAGCATCCTGTGTCCCGTGCACAAAAAAGGAGACAAGGCGATATGTGCCAACTATAGAGGAATATGTCTCCTTCCCATCGCATATAAAGTGCTATCCAGTGTACTGTGTGAACGTCTGAAGCCAATGGTCAATGACTTTATTGGAGCATACCAATGTGGCTTCAGACCTGGCAAATCCACCATTGACCAGATTTTCACTCTGCGCCAAATCCTGGAAAAAACCCACGAAAAACATCAACACATTCCACCTATTCGTCGACTATAAAGCCGCATTCGACAGCCCTATCCTTTCAGAGGTGTATAAAGCCATGTCTGCGTTTGGGATTCCTGCAAAAATTAATTCGGCTATGCAGGATAACTTTAACCGGCTCAAAATCAGCAGTTAAAGTCGGAAAGGACCTCTCTGAGCACTTTTATACTGAACTAGGATTTAGACAAGGTGATAGTTTGCCGTGTGACCTTTTTAGCATCCTGCTGGAAAAGGTCATACGAGAAGCAAAAGTGAACAAAAATGGCACTCTGTACACCAAACAACACATGTTACTCGCCTACGCCGATGACATCGACATAATGGGTCGAACATTGAGAGCGGCAACAGCCACCTTTGAACAAATTGAGAAGGAGTCTGCCAAAGTGGGTCTGGCAGTAAACGGCAAGAAGACCAAGCTGATGGTGTCAACGCGCAAGACGTCCAGTGGACTCGGACCAAAATTCATTCAAGTACAATCTCCTACGAAATATCGAAAAATCGAAAAAAAATTATGAGGCTCATCTCTACTTCGTCGGCTACCCCAACAAGCAAAATGGTTGCATCTGGACATCCATCCTCAACATGCGAAAGATTGGTGGTGTGATTGGTTTCTTGAAGGATATTTTTAAGACAATAAATGTCGAGGGAATGACACGATGAATAAAACACGATTAATTTTGTGTGAATTTAAAATATGTATATTTTTGAAGGGCAGCCGAATTTTATAAAAATATTTTTTGAAGGCCAAAATGGAGATTAGAGAATACAGATTTCGGTTTTTTTTAATCAGATTAAATTTTGCATCCGAAACGGTGCTGCAATTTTAAAAGAGGATATCGAAAAGTGGTTAAATATTGTTAATTTTTGGTAGCTATATTTTCTGCTACCACCCAATGAGGACGAAAAATATGAAATTACAGTCAATTCGCTTGAAAAAAGTAATCAGATAACAGGGATTCACTTGTTATGGGAATACCTTAGATGAGGACTACCTTAATTGCTACCCAATGAGAACCAAAAATACCAAACTACAACCAATTCGCTTGAAAAGCGTACATAAAACCCCCCAAAATACCGGAAACCGTTTAATGCGGACTATCCTAAAATGTGGACCAATATATACATCACTTTTGGTAGTTAGAATGATAATTCAAAATACCAACCAAATGCTGCGAATTACGTTTAGGAGACGCTCTCAAAATACGTAATACTGGAGGGTATCATTATTGGGGGCTCTACTAAAACATGGTCCGATATATTCCATTTTCAATATCATCCTGTGGGTCGATTCACTATCAAATTTAAACAATTCTCAAATCGATAAAATATTATAACGACAAAATAAACAATATTTCAATTTTATAACAGCGTTTAACAACAATTGTTAAAAATGTTGTTAATAAACAACACCAAAATATTCCTAGTTAACTTATCGACAAATATTTTTCAATATTGAACATGCCTTGTTTTGTTCTGAATTTGTTGTCAAAATGTTCAAAAATAAAAGCTTTTTGAAAGATTTTCGACAATTTGTCTACATTTTTACAGAATAACATTTTCGTTACTGCAAACGATTTTATGTGTAGACAAAATTGTCGATTGTCGGATCGTTATAAGTTACTGAATCGACCTACTGGTGTGGTAGCAATTTATGTGCAAATTTTCAATGCATTAAAATCTTTCTATTTATTCCTATCGTGAATTCGAATGTTGGCTAAATGGCATGAATTTTTTCGAATAAATAATATTTTATACTTTGTGTGTGAGGTTTCCAGTGAATTTTCGAGGTGTTGACCAATTTTCAATACACTCCACCTTATGGTAGAGGTTTAAAAAGTCAAATGTTCCTTAAAACCACCAATTAGAGCAATTTAAACCCATAACAACAAGTTTTCATATTAACATGATTTTTTCCACAATTGTACGAGACTAAATAGAATTTCAAAACATATTAATTAAAAAAATTCTTCTTTTGAAGTCTGTCAGGGCCTCATGCCTAGACTTATTCAAAAATACTTTTTTCGAGCACTAATGCTATAAAAAGCATAAGCATTGATAGATGATTTGACTTTTGTGGATATTTTTCATTTAGACACATACAAAATTGATTTTACTTTGAAATTCAAAACTGGCACTTTTTACGACGAACTAGTAGCAAAACAATGTCCTTCATACTCAGAGCAATCATCATTACCTTTTTCGCGAAATATTACTGCTGGCCTTCGTTGATTTTTTCCAATTTTAAGCAATTTACCGAAATTCCGTAATTTCATAAGTAAATGTTTCTATAACATCTAATTTTTTGATACACATACAAACTAAAAAATTTCCTTTAAACAACAGTGAAAGTTGCATGCAAATATCTCCATTCATTACTGAGTTATAGCCATTTGAAGTTGACCTTGTGTCAAAATTTTTGTCTAATTAAGAATTCTGGTTTTGTATACTTTGTGAAGTCTCTGGTGAATATTTCGAGCTGATGATCAATTTTCAACACACTCCACCTTATGGTAGACGTTAAAAAAATCAAATTTCCCTTAAAACCCCTAATTTCAGCAATTTAACTCCATAACAACAAGTTTTCATATTAACATGATTTTCTCAACAATTGTACGAGCTTGCCAATTGCTGTGCATACACACATGGGAAAAATCTACCAAAAATAAAAAAAATCTCGTTGACAATCGTTTGACGTGCGTGAGTGTGTGTGATGTTAGTGAAAGTTGTTACATGCAAAAGCTTATGGTTGGCAACATTTCCATTACACCCATTGAATTGATGCGTGAAAGTATGCTCATTATTTGCAGACTCACACCGAACAAACCAAAACAAACGATTGGCAACGCGGCTACTTTTCGGTTTTTGGTGCTTTGTCAATTTTGCAATTTTCCCATTTGCGGTAATAGGCGAACAGAATCGTGTAGCCGCTATATTTTGACACACGGTCAACTTTAAATGGCTATCACTCGGTAATGAATGGAGATATCGGTATGCAAATTTCACTACTGGTTAGGGGAGGCTTTGTAGATTATGTGTGTATGCAATTGGCAAGCTCGCACAATTTTTGAGAAAATCATGTTAATATGTAACATTGTTATATTGGGTTTAATTTGCTGAAATTAGGGGTTTTAAGGGAAATTTGATTTTTATCTCCTCCACTATAAGGTGGAGTGTGTTGAAAATTGGTCATCAGTTCGAAATATTCACCAGAGACTACACAAAGTATACAAAACCGTATTCTTAGTGAGGCAAAAATTTTGACACAAGGTCAACTTCAAATGGCTATAACTCAGTAATGAATGGAGATATGTGCATGCAACTTTCACTATTGTTTAAGGGAGATTTTGTAGTTTCTATGTGTATAAAAAATTGGCATTTTAGAAACATTTACTTATAAAATTACGGAATTTCGGTAATTTGTTTTAAATTGAAAAAAAATCAACGAAGGGCGGCAGTAACATTCTCTACCAAAAATTATTGATATTGGCCAAAGTTTCTGGTTAGGCCGGCCTATAAAGGTTCCCCTAAATATTCGGATTTTTTGTGGATTTTGTGGAAGTTTTTCAAACGAATTGTTTGTAAAAGGGGTTATGTCTGGGTGTTGGCAAAGATTTTGAAGTATTTTTTTTAAATTATTTTTCTTAATTCCAGTCCCATATTTTTTTATTACTATCTCAATTTATTATGTTAAGAAAAACATTAATTTTATTTATTTTTTTGAAAAAATATATACACTGTTTATTTGAAAATTGTTTTGTTTCTTCTTAATCATATCTATATAATTCAGCATTTTAACATATAACTATATAATTATTTATAATATATATATATATATATATATATATTCAATAATAATAATAAAAAATATACATTTGTGTTGTTACTTCATTATCTTCAACTGACATCATATACATATATATATAAATATTGTTATGGCTTATAATTAAAACATAAAAACAATTATTACTACAGAAGACAAAAAAATCAAGATAAAAATAATTTTTAAGGTTCGTTTTTCAAACAGGCATTCAAAGTTGTAGGTTATGTTTTTTAAAAACTTCAAGTAAAATTTAAAAAAATAAATATAGTCCTTATATAAAATTCCAATGTTAGTTAATTTTATTTTAAAAAATAAATTTAAATTTTTTCATTTTCATCATTTACAATATTTTAATTCAAAATATTAATATTTTTCCTTATAGCCCAATTAAAAGAAAAATTTTGTATTTTGAAAAAAAATTGTTTTTCGTTAAAAAACTGTGTGCCTTTAAGCTTAATACTAAAGTTATATATATGGTTTTTGTTCTATATAAATAATAATTATTATTAATTTAATTAATAATATTGTTTTTCATTTCTGTTTTTGTTTTGTCTTGTTTTATAAAAAAAATAATGGCCACTGATGTCTTGAATTTTTTGTTATTGTTATTTGAATTAATTTTTTTTAATTAAAATATTTTTGCTAAACTGGGAGTACGCCGAAATGGATTCCATGAACTCGATGAAATACTACCCAGCAAGGGTTTAGATGTAGACTTGCAACGTATTTTGGGTTTGGTTGTTGTTCCTGTGGGACTGGACGATCCCGATGAGACACCAGAGGAGCTAGCCGCAGATAATGTTGAAATGGAACCCTTTGATGATAATGGCTAGAAGAAAAGAAAGGAAACAGAATTAGTAATCGGATTTTTTAAAGAATATTTTTTCAAGGACTACCACAAGGCGTGGATTTTGTAAAGAATATTTCTTCAAGGACTACCACAAGGCGTGGATTTTTTAAAGAATATTTTTTCAAGAACTACCACAAGGCGTGGATTTTTTAAAGAATATTTTTTCAAGGACTACCACAAGGCGTGGATTTTTTAAAGAATATTTTTTCAAGGACTACCACAAGGCGTGGATTTTTTAAAGAATATTTTTTCAAGGAATAACACAAGGCGTGGATTTTTTAAAGAATATTTTTTCAAGGACTAACACAAGGCGTGGATTTTTTAAAGAATATTTTTTCAAGGACTAACACAAGGCGTGGATTTTTTAAAGAATATTTTTTCAAGGACTAACACAAGTCGTGGATTTTTTAAAGAATATTTTTTCAAGGACTAACACAAGGCGTGGATTTTTTAAAGAATATTTTTTCAAGGACTACCACAAGGCGTGGATTTTTTTAAGAATATTTTTTCAAGGCCTGGATTTAAAAAATATTTTTTAAAGAATGTTTTTCAAGGCCTAGATTTAAAACAAAAATATTTTTAAAGAATATTTTTACAAGGCCTGGATTAAAAAAAAAATATTTTTTAAGGACTACCACAAGGCCTGGATTGTAAAAAAATATTTTTAAGGACTACTGTATTTACCTTCAAATAATTTCTATCCATTGGCGTTATAACTTTCAGCTCCAATGTAGAACCACACGATTGTATCAGGCGCACCACCTGTTGATGTAGATACCATTTGACATCGATGCCGGCAATTTCTACAATAAAATCACCCTCCTTAATGCCACCCAACTGGAATCAAAATAATACAAATTAATTTCAAATAAAAACATTTTTAGAATTACCCAAAACTCACATCTGCCAATGAATTAATTTCCACATGGGCAATCATCACGGGAGCATCACCCTGCACATGAAAACCGAAACTTTCAATTTCTTCCTTGTACAAACTACAACCCACTTCATGGCCATCAGCCGGCGATGGACAATGACAATGGTAATGGGTACCATCATGATAGATGGCCGAACCCTTTTGTAGACGTACACAACGCGGTGCGGTCCAATGACGTCGGGCAGAAAAAATGGCAATTGGACCCAATCGCTTGAAGGGATCTTCAACTTTGTACGATGTAAAGTCGGGACCGGTTAGGGAGAGGGTGAATTTGGAGCAGGCTGGAAATGAAAACAAAAAAGAAAAATTAATTTTTATTTTTAAAATTTTAATTTTATTTCTATACTCACCTTCAATTTGAACTTCGATTAAATCATCGATTTCATTTTCTGGCATTTCTACGCTGAATTTTTCCAATTCATCTTGGGTTTTGTATTGGGCTTCCTTAATGACTTGTGTTAAAGATGTTTTATTCTGAAAATAAAAATAATAGAAAAAAAATATATTTAATGTAAATGAATTGTTATTAGGTATAAAACTACTCCTCCATAACTTTAAAATAGTGCCAATGAAGACTTAACACCATTTATGGCAGATCAAACAACCTAGGAGAAAACACCCAAATGCACTTCGCAAATGATGATACATTTGTGGCAGCTGCTTCTTTGTGCTGGTTTTTGCTTAGATGTGTCTGCGCAAAAAAATTTGCAATTTGTGGACCACGCAAAGTCGTTGTAACGAAAAGGTATGACAACATTGTTGTCGCACATATGTGTGCTCTTGTGCATGGCTGTTGCAACACTTGGAAATTTGTAATGTGGTAGCAAGCGAGGTAAAACGTTTAGCAGCTAATGATAAATATGGTCATGATGCTGATTCCATAAATGGCCTCTCAGACATAACAACAACAATAATACACCCATTGCCATCACCAACATATTATTTTTTGTACAAACAATTCATAAGATATGTTTCCGAACTCCATGCGTGGAATTTTTAAAGAAAGATTTCCTATGGATTTTATAGATTTTTTTGAGAATTATCCCGAGCTATTTTAAGGTAAGGTCTTTCCGAGCCACAATTTTCAATTAAAGAATACGTTTTGAACGTCTAGAGAATTAAAGCGAAGGTTTTTGTAACACTGAAGGTCTTCCACAGCTATAAGCAGGGTCTTTTAGAGCTACAAGCGAGGATTTTTTAAGACATTTTTTTTTTAATTTCTGCCAGAGCTTCCATAACTACAAGCCTGCTTTAAAGGTCCTCCAGAGCTACTAGTATGTAAATTAAAAAATATATATAGCCACAGAAGTTCTGCAGAGCCTCTAGGTTCTCCTTTTAAGGCCATTTTTAGGAATAATTTTAAAAGGCCTTCCAGAGGTACATGCGTGGATGTTTAGAAATATTTATTGAAGTGCATCAGGGCTACAAACGTGGACGTTTTAAGAAAAAAATTTTTGATTGCTTCCAGAGCTACAAGTGTGGATTTTTTAAGGAATAATTTTTAAAGGCATTGCAGAGGCGCAAGCGTGGGTTTTTTGGGCAATATTTTTTCGTCGACGTATAATTTATAATTTGAAGCGTGAATATTTAAGCAAGGTAAAGCAGAGCTACAATCGAGGATTATTAAATACATTTTTTTTAAATTTATTCTGAATTGAGGATAGAATGATGTATGTCAAGTTTCGAGAAAATCGGTTCAAATTTAGTTATAGCTCCCATATATCGTTTTGTCCGATTTAAGGTAAATGGGCCTCCAAAGACCCTATATATCTCTAGATATGCGCATGGTGTTCTCAATTGAGCCTAGAATGACGTGTGTCAAATTTCGAGAAAATCGGGTCAGATTTATATGTAGCACCCATATAAATTTTCGTTCAATTTATAGTAAATGGGACACCAAAGTGCCTACATATCTTTCAATATGCACGAAATGTGGCATAGGGTACTGAATTGAGGATAGAATGATGTATGCCAAGTTTCGAGAAAATCGGTTCAGATTTAGATATAGCTCCCATATATCGTTCTGTCCGATTTAAGGTAAATGGGCCTCCAAAGACCCTATATATCTCTAGATATGCGCGAAAATTTGCATGGTGTTCTCAATTGAGCCTAGAATGACGTGTGCCAAATTTCGAGAAAATCGGTTCGAATTTAGATATAGCTTCCGTGTATAGTTTCGTCCGATATAAGGTAAATAGGACACCAAAGTCCCTATATATCTTTCGATTTGCATGAAAGTTGGCATAAAGTTCTGAATTAGAATCAGAATGATGTATTCTAAGTTTCGTGAAAATCGGTTCAGATTTAGATATAGCTCCCATATATATTTTCGTTCGATTTTATGTAAATGGTGCACCAAAGTCCCTATATATCCTTCGATTTTCACGAAATTTGGCACAACGTAATGAATTAGGTCTAGAATGATGTGTGTTAAGTTTCCTGAAAATCGGTTCAGATTAAGATATAGCTCCCATATATAGTTTCGTCCGATTTAATGTAAATGGTGCACCAAAGTCTCTATATATCTTTCGATTTGCACGAAATTTGGCACAGCGTAATGAATAACGTCTAGAATAATGTGTGTTAAGTTTCGTGAAAATCGGTTCAGATATATATATATAGCTCCCATATATATTTTCGTCCGATTTAATGTAAATGGTGCACCAAAGTCCCTATATATCTCTCGATTTGCACGAAATTTGGCACATCGTAATGAATTAGGTCTAGAATGATGTGGGTTAAGTTTCGTGAAAATCGGTTCAGATTTAGATATAGTTCCCATATATCGTTTTGTCCGATTTAAGGTAAATGGGGCTCCAAAGACCCTATATATCTCTAGATATGAGCGAAATTTTGCATGGTGTTCTCAATTGAGTCTAGAATGACGTGTGCCAAATTTCGAGAAAATCGGATTTTATATATTTTTGTATATAGCACCCATATATATTAAGTTTGGCTCAAATCGGATGATATTATAATAATTATTATATCTAAATTATTATCATCGAACTTCAATTAAGTTTGGAAGAAATATTACCATGTGGAAAAGTTGGGATGAAATCGGTTACCTCCTTCGAGAGTTATCGTGTGCATATGCCGGACAGACAGACATTTGTAAATCGGGTCCAAATTATCTGAAACCAAACCTGGTCCTAATTATCTGGGAATATAAAAAAACCAGTGAGCAGAGCAGTATAGTCGGGCGTGCCGACCATACGATATCCTACACAAGTACAACGTAACCTTTACTTTCTGCACATTTTCTTCCGAGTATGGGCAATATTTCTTGATATTTGCACTCTCTTGCCCGATTAGAGTTCAACAGCACCTTTTGCTTACAATGGCATATTTTCCGACCATAACTGGAACCTCATGGAAAATTTCAAAGCGAACAGCGCTATATTTCCTCCCTCTAGTTTGGTAATGGGCTACTAAATAATATCTGAAGTATGCACCTGTATATATTTGAGTGCAACTCTCACATCCGAGTACATAAGACAATATAATTGGTATCAATTTAAAGGTCAACCACCACTCTTGGATATACTGTCAACTTCTTGGGTCTATGTCCTTCAGGAGTAAATATATACTCCATAGAATACAAATTTTGTAACTTTTCACACAAAAGTCAGGGTCAATTTGACCCGCCAAATAATGACAATTCTTTATCAAAACAGGCATGCTTATCCAATCCCCTTGTCCATGATTGAGCCATAATTGCGGTCTATGGAGCGACCAGAAGAAACGACAAAAATTAAGTATTTGGTCCTTTTCATCCCCTAAATATAAAACGATCTTTACCATAAGCTATAAGGGTTTTCATTGGCCAGAACCCACCCTACATGCAAAATTTTGTGAAGATTGGTCCATAACTGTGGTCTGTATCGTGTTTACAAATTATAATGGACATACGGATGGACGGACACACGTGTCCAGATCGACTCGATCGAGCTAGTCGAGATAAGACGATCGGTATACTTAATTGTGGGTCTAGGACCAATATTTCGCGGCGTTACAAACTCTTGGGGCTGCACAAAGCTATAATATCCTGACAACATAGTTGTGTAGGGTATAAAAATATACGATTATTGCCCTGAAGACTTTTAAAAATATTCTTTCAAATATCCTGCCATCCCAAATTATTAAATGAATCACATTCCTGTTATTACTCCAAAATATGAAATATTGCCTATTTTACTATTTTAGTTAAATATTTTGAGGTTTTTCCATCCTATTCGACTTTGTACTCTGCTGCCATTTAGTATGCCATCTGATCGACTGACTGACTCACCTTTAAATAACGACACATACGCTGCAGACGTTGGGTTTCTTCATGACTAGCCAAGGCTTCATTTAAATGGGCACGTTTTAATGCTGCCAAACTGGTGCACTCCTCATCGTTGTCATCTGCGGCGGCGGCCGCGGCTGCCGCAGCCATGCGCAATGCCTCCCGCGCATTACCAATAAACGATTCGTTCGAGGTGGCTTGACTTTTTTTGGTACTCAGGGAAGCTTTGTCAGCGCTGGCATCTATGCTGCGGGCCTCATAATGATGGGAGACGGCTGTAAATAAAAGAAAGAAGAGGGAAAAAGAAGATGAGCAACAAAGGTAACACAATGAGAATGAATGAAAAATAAAAAAAAAACAATTGAAGAATACTATGAGAAATAATAGCTAAGGCCTGAGTAGCGGAGTTGAGTGTTGTTCGAGCTGTGTGTGAAATATGAAATAAGGAAGCAGAAGAAGAAGAAGTTTGTCGTTCAATGAATGGTCTATAAAAAATAATTTTACTAATAATTCATATTCTCAGATTTGTTGTGTTGTGTATAGAATGGCTGTTGTTTGGCTAGAGGAAGCTATGTTCGAAACATTTCAGTTTCATTGGAGCTGTATACAATAGAAGCTTTAACGCACGAAGAAGACGAAGAAGATTTCTTTTGTTTCAAAGAAGCTAGGCGAGAAATAACAAAAAAAAATTGTTTGTGCATGGTATTGGGTTGGTGGCATATATTATTGATTGTTCACAAGCAGAGTAGGAAAACAAGAGAAGAATAAAAAAATAAAAAAAAAATGGCACCACACAAACAATAAATGAGAAGACGTCATGATGCGCCACCATGAGGATGATATTTAAAAGGCCAAAACACAAAATACAGAAGATACTCCACACACTTATCGATTCATTCATCCATTACAGTCCGTATTGAGTGGAACTACAACAATTGCTATTTTGTAACTTATAAACAAAATTGTTCTTCGAAACTTGATTTTCCACTTCGGATATTCTTCTTCAATAATTTTTTTTGCTCATTTTATAATTATTAGAAAAAAAAACATGATCATGCCGGTTTGCCATATTTTTCACCTTTCAATTAATCATAATGAAAATAATGCTGACGACTACTCACCTTTATAGTATTCGGCTTTGAGTGGCACTAGACCAGCCCAACATTCGGGTAAATATGTATGGGTATCATTCAATTGTATGTTTTTGTGCATTTCATTGTACTCATGGGTTAATTGTGCTGCTTCGCCAGCTAAATCTTTGAAGAGCTGCAAAAAAAAAAATAAATAAATAATAATAAATAAATAGAAAAAAATAAAAAGTAACTGAAAATACAACCACTAAGGAAAGTAGTAAAGACGGACTGGGCCGACTATATGATACCCTTCACCACTTTGGGAATGTGCTACATATGTATCCTAACAGACGACGCGTTATATATATATATATATATATATCTATATCTGTACCGATTTCAGGGAAACTTTCCAGAGACTAAATTATATTACTTCAGTACGTAGTGTCAATCGGCCTAGCTATGGATCTTTTCACGAAGCTTAGCAACGTCATTCTAGACTTAATTCTGTACCCTATATCAAAATTTGTGCAAGGGGCTTTGATGCACCAATTACATAAAATCGGACGAAAATATATATGGATGCTATATCTAAAACTGAACCGATTTTCACGAAACTTTGCGCAAATCGTTCTAGACTTAATTCAGTACGATATGCCAAAATTCGTGCAAATGAAAAGATTTCCAGGGACTTTGGTGCACCAATTACCTAAAATCGGACGAAACTATATATGGGAGCTATATCAAAATCTGAACCGATTTTCATGAAACTTAGCGTACATTATTATAGACGCAATTCAGTACGCTATGCCAAATTTCGTGCAAATCGAAGGGGCTTTGATGCACCAATTACCTTAAATCGGATGAAAATATATATGGGAGCTATATATAAATCTGGACCGATTTTCACGAAACTTAGCATACATCATTCTAGACTTAATTCAGTACGCTGTGCCAAATTTCATGCAAATCGAATGATATATAGGGACATTGGTACACCATTTACTGAAAATCGGACGAAACTATATATGGGAGCTTTATCTAAATCTGAAACGATTTTCCCAATTTCAATAGGGTTCGTCCTTAGGCCAAATAAGTGACCTATGCCAACTTCCATCCAATTCGGATCATAAATGCGACCTGTACTTTGTTTACAATTTAACATGGACAGACGGACGGACGGACTTAGTGATTCTATGCATATTCTCAAAAGGAACCATGCGTCTATCTCGTTTCCTTTTGCCTGTTACAAACATATGCACAAAGAAATAATACCCTGTACTACAGTGTGGCGAAGGGCATAAAAAGATGGTTTAAATCAAAAGACTTAAGAAACGAACTTTATAAAGGAGGAATTTCAAGGAAAATTGTTTTTATAAGGACTACCACAAGGCGTGGATTGTTTAAAGAATATTTTTTCAAGGACTATCACAAGGCGTGGATTTTTTAAAGAATACTTTTTCAAGGACTATCACAAGGCGTGGATTTTTTAAAGAATATTTTTTCAAGGACTATCACAAGGCGTGGATTTTTTAAAGAATATTTTTTCAAGGACTATCACAAGGCGTGGATTTTTTAAAGAATATTTTTTCAAGGACTATCACAAGGCGTGGATTTTTTAAAGAATATTTTTTCAAGGACTATCACAAGGCGTGGATTTTTTAAAGAATATTTTTTCAAGGACTATCACAAGGCGTGGATTTTTTAAAGAATATTTTTTCAAGGACTATCACAAGGCGTGGATTTATTAAAGAATATTTTTTCAAGGACTATCACAAGGCGTGGATTTATTAAAGAATATTTTTTCAAGGACTATCACAAGGCGTGGATTTATTAAAGAATATTTTTTCAAGGACTATCACAAGGCGTGGATTTATTAAAGAATATATTTTCAAGGACTATCACAAGGCGTGGATTTATTAAAGAATATTTTTTCTAGGACTATCACAAGGCGTGGATTCATTAAAGAATATTTTTTCAAGGACTATCACAAGGCGTGGATTTTTTAAAGAATATTTTTTCAAGGACTATCACAAGGCGTGGATTTTTTAAAGAATATTTTTTCAAGGACTATCACAAGGCGTGGATTTTTTAAAGAATATTTTTTCAAGGACTATCACAAGGCGTGGATTTATTAAAGAATATTTTTTCAAGGACTATCACAAGGCGTGGATTTATTAAAGAATATTTTTTCAAGGACTATCACAAGGCGTGGATTTATTAAAGAATATTTTTTCAAGGACTATCACAAGGCGTGGATTTTTTAAAGAATATTTTTTCAAGGACTATCACAAGGCGTGGATTTTTTAAAGAATATTTTTTCAAGGACTATCACAAGGCGTGGATTTTTTAAAGAATATTTTTTCAAGGACTATCACAAGCGTGGATTTTTTAAAGAATATTTTTTCAAGGACTATCACAAGGCGTGGATTTTTTAAAGAATATTTTTTCAAGGACTATCACAAGGCGTGGATTTTTTAAAGAATATTTTTTCAAGGACTATCACAAGGCGTGGATTTTTTAAAGAATATTTTTTCAAGGACTATCACAAGGCGTGGATTTTTTAAAGAATATTTTTTCAAGGACTATCACAAGGCGTGGATTTTTTAAAGAATATTTTTTCAAGGACTATCACAAGGCGTGGATTTTTTAAAGAACATTTTTTCAAGGACTATCATAAGGCGTGGATTTTTTAAAGAATATTTTTCAAGGACTATCACAAGGCGTGGATTTTTTAAAGAATATTTTTTCAAGGACTATCACATGATGTTGGCTCAAATCGTGAATTTTCATCTGAAATATTATTTCGCAAGATTGTAATGTTTATTATTTTCCAATTTTCCCTCGATTTACTGTGGCCCCTGCCAATATAGAAAAAGATATTAAATTACATTGCCAAGTTTTATGCAATTCAATGTTGTTTGGATGGCTACTTTTTTAAAGGCGTTCACCAATTCGCATTGTCTTCGTCGTATTCGCATTGTGGCCATATGCAAGAAAGTCAGCGCCACGGAAGAATTATGCAATAGCCGTATATTAAAGCTGCCTGTTTGCTTTCACCCAAAGGCAGATGATTGACAGGCGGCACAAAACAAAAGTATTGAAAAATGTGTTGGCCTCTTTTGTTTGATACTCTAGAAACTTGGGACGGAGGGGGGAGGGAAATAATTGCAGATTTTTTGTGAAGTTACAAACAATTTCGCTTTGAAGGGATTTTGAAGTTCATTATTTTTGCAAAAGAAAACAAAAATGAATAGAAGGAAGATATATGTGTCTAAATATGATGTGTAATGGTAGGTGTGTGTTCAAGAGGTGGCATGTAAGAGATTTGAAATATGGTTTTTAATTAACGATTTTTTTGTGGAGCCTTGGAAAGAAAAGTTGACAGATTTCTATCACCTCTTCTAAAAAGAAGAAAGGAAGCGATGAGAAGTTATCATGATCTACAGTAGTTTTTAGTTTGAGTGCGACAGAATGTTCGTTTCTTAAGTCTTTTGTTTATAGAGATTGTTATCTATTACATCAAGTTTGTTGCTTAAGTCTTTTGTTTCATGTGGTTAGATGTGAAAAGAAGATTTAAAATTAAGAGCTAAGGAATGCGAAAGGTACCACGGTCTTATAATAAGGATCTAATATTTAAAGAGGTCGATTCTGGAATAAACCTCTAAAGACCTTCTTATAATATCTCCTCTTTGAAAATATTGTTGCCATGTTCGTTTCTTAAGTCTTTTTTTGGATATTTTTACTTGGAAATAAAATTTCAAAATTTCATTTTTTTCCTTTTTTTACTTACATGACTTGAATCCTTAATACCCAATGACTCGATCTGCAATTGCAGCTTCTCGAACAGACATTCGCGTGCTTGTGACAACATTAACGAAACTAAAACATCCAACACCTGCGGTTTCAGATCCATTGACGGCGCATTGGTAAAGGTGTCGTAAATATGACGGAAAATACCGGCGGCCCGGAGAAAACTATCCACAGCGGCATCCAGACCCTTTTCAGTTGTACGATCGTGGCGAGCACCGATTTGTGTGTAAATAGCACCCAAATTAAATAATGTACAGGCCTTTTCGAAGGCAATGGTGCGTTGGCAAGATGGTACACCTAAAAGAAAGTGAAATTAAAAATTAATGAAAATCGAAGGAAAGGAGTGGCGATATTAGGGTACACTTACCTGTCAAGGAATCATACCACTCGAAATATACACCCAGATTACGATCTGGTGGAAAGAAACGTCTTTCAACGTAATACAATAGATTGTAGTAGCGAAAGAGTAGAGCGACACCCTGGCTGTCGCGTGAGGGGGTTTTGGATGCCTGGAAAGAAAATATGAAAAGAAAATCAGTAAAGGACAAGTTTTAAATTTTTTTCTAAGGACCAAAAAAGGCGTGGATTTTTTAAAGAATATTTTTCTAAGGACCAAAAGAGGGGTGGGTTTTTTTAAATAAGGACCAAAAGAGGCGTGAAGGACTTCAGTATCATTATAGTGGATTGTTTAAGGAAGCAGAATCGAAAAAAGATTTTTGTTCTGAAGAATATACCCTTCGCCAGGCTATGGTACAGGGTATTATTTTTTTGTGCATATGTTTGTAACAGGCAAAAATAATCGAGATAGACCCATGGTTCCTTTTGAGAATATGCAAAGAACCTCTTTCTGAGTCGATTTATGCACGTCCGTCCGTCCGGTTGTCCATGTTAAACAAAGTACACGTCGCATTTATGATCCGAATTGAATGAAATTTGGCACAGCTCATTTGTTTGGCCCAAGGACGAACCTTATTGGGAAAAATCGCTTCAGATTTAGATATAGCTTCCATATATATTTTCGCCCGATTTAATGAAAATGGTGCACCAATGTCCCTATAAATCTTTCGATTTGCGCGAAATTTGGCATAGTGTACTGAATAAAGTCTAGAATGATATGTGTTAAGTTTCGTGAAAATCGGTTCAGATTTAGATATAGCTCCCATATGTATTTTCGTCCGATTTAAGGTAAATGGTGTACCAAAATCCCTATATATCTTTCGATTTGCACGAAATTTGGCATTGTGTACTGAAATGCGTCTGGAGTGATGTGTGTAAAGTTTCGTGAAAATCGGTTCAGATTTAGATATAGCTCCTATATATATTTTGGTCCGATTTAAGGTAAATAGTGTACCAAAGTCCCTATACATCTTTCGATTTGAACGAAATTTTGCATAGTTTACTGAATAAAATCTAGAATGATATGTGGGTTAAGTTTCGTGAAAATCGGTTTAGATTTAGATATAGTTCCAATATATATTTTCGTCCGATTTAATGTAAATTGTGCACTAAAGACCAAAAGTTTTTCCGACCGGCACACAATTTTGTACAATCTATTCTATTCTATAGAAGTTACTATAACCTTTTGTGTGTCAAGTTTTCTTGTACTTGGTTCAGATTTACATATAGCTCTTATATATACTTTCGTCAGATTTTAAGTAAATGGTGCACTAACGACCTATAGCTAGGCCGATTGACAGAACGTACTGAAATTAATATAAATTAATCTCGGGCAAGTTTTCTTGAAATCGGTTCAGATTTAGATATAGCATTGCTTCCATATATAATTTCGACCTATTCATGTTGATTGTACACCAAATAATCAATGGGTGCCGATTGATATTACATTTTAAACAGTGAAGCATACCCAGTAGCGTGTGTTGGAGTTAGTCAGTTAAATTATAGATAAAGATCGACATCTATTAGGATACATATGTAGAATATACCCAAAGTGGTGAAGGGCATCATATAGTCGGCCTATATAAAATTAAAATTTATTATTATAACTTACCTGTCTAGTATCGGTAATATCGGCAATAGCATCCGCATACTGTGATGGTTCCTCGCTATAGTGTTCAAGTATAAAATCGGAAAACGGTTCCATAAAATCAATTTCTTTTGTTTCTTTTAAACCTAGGGGGATCATGGGCATAACACCATCTTGACTGGAATGGAGAATAAAAAAGGGGAATAAAAGAAGAAAATTATTAATAAACAAAAATACATATAAATATATATTTATATATAAAATAAAACAAATAAAAATGTAATGCTACTTGTTACGAGAGAGAAGAGAAGAATGTGTAATTTAATTAATATTTATATAAAATTCCATAATATAACGGAATATAATATAGTTACTAATTAAATTGCATATCTATCTATATAAATAAAATACTTTTTCTATGACTGATGAGCGTAAAGTTTGAAGAAAAAAAAAAAAACAACTAAAAATTTATAGCTGTCATAATTTGTTCTTGAAGCATAAAATTGCGACTAATTACTGGGAATTTGTTATCGTATCGTTGTTGTATCATTGTTTTCAGAAGTCGGAATAGTAGTAGATGTTGTTCTTGTCGTTTTTTTTTTTGTTTGTTCACATTTGAATTAGCATGAAATAAATTTCATTGCTGATTTATAAAGATGTTAGCTAAGTAGTGACAGCCATACATTTTCAGTTTACTAAGAATGTGTGCTGTTAGACAGTTGAGGAATTTTTCGAATAGATTTTTTTTTAGAAGAAATTATTAAGAAGGAGGATATTAAAAATAATATTTGTAGTTAGCAGAGATGTTCGCATGTTGGGCACCTTTTTGGAATAATATTAAAAAAATGGAGAACTAAATTCTATACAAAATAAATTTTTATTAAAAAAAATCGACTATGGTCCCTTAGTCTATTTACATATGTACTCAATTCCCTTAGAAGAGCTTCTTCAAAATTTCATATTTATTTATAAGTTTTGTTCGCTAATAAAAACAATTGCACAAAATTGAAAATATATATTTTTTTCCAAAAATCGTAATTATTTCATTACCTCTCAATTTCAATCAATGATATTGCAAAATTAGTGCCATAAGAAAAATAATATTAAGAACTTTTTCTGTTAATTGTATTTGCCCTAAAATCATTCCCAGCCTCAGTAGCTGAAGTGGCAAGTCATTGTCAAATAATCGGAACATTTATTTAAGCCGAAAAGAAGGGAATAATGTCATGGCGATAGAAAATAAATAAAATGCGGTTCCAAAAGAAAAACCATTAAGAAAAGCTCAAAAGTCGGAGGGACCGACTATATGATACCCTTCACCACTTTGGGTACCAATCTGATATTTATGAAAAATTGTGTGTCAATCATCGAGCAAAATATGTAAAAGATCTATATATAAATGAACACACAAAATTTATCTCGACACTCGACATGCATCAATCTAGACCTGATTCAGAACTCTGTGCAAAATGTTGTCTCAATCGGACAAACATCTATAGTATGGTGCAACATTTACATACAATTGGAGGAAACTATATATGGGAGCTATATCTAAATCTGAACAGATTTCAACAAAACTTCGCATACATAAATTTGGACATACTTCAGTACGCTGTGCAAAATGTTTTCTCCCTTTGGCCTAAATTTGAATCTTTAATGCTCCATTTACATAAAATCGTACGAAACTATATATGGGAGCTATATGTAAATCTGAACCGATTTTCAGGAAACTTAACACACTTCATTCTAGACCTAATACATTACACTGTGCCAAATTTCGTGCAAATCGAAAGATATATAGGGACTTTGGTGCACCATTTACTTTAAATCGGACTATAATATATATTGGAGCTATATCTAAACCTGAACCGATTTTCAGGAAACTTAACACATATCATTCTAGACCTAGTTCATTACGCTGTGCAAAATTTCGTGCAAATCAAGAGATATATAGGGACTTTGGTGCACCATTTACCTTAAATCGGACGAAAATATATATGGGAGGTATATCTAAATCTGAACCGATTTTTCCCAATTTCAATAGGGTTTGTCCTTGGGCCAAATAAGTGACCTATGCCAAATTTCATCCAAATCAGGTAATAAATGCGACCTGTACTTTGTTCACACAATTAAATAAACACTTGACAGACTACATTCTAGCCTCAATTCGGTAACGACTGTTAAATTTAGTGTCGATCGGGCAGACGTAGGGTCCCTGCTCCACCATTAGCATGAAAACGAATGGCGGTGGTTCCCATTTTTGGTTATAATCTAGGTATTACGATGAGCAAAGTTTCAATGAAATTGGATATTCCGTTTTCTTCATGTGGGAAGCAAAAGTTTTAAAATGTTGACTCTTTGTGGGGGAGGATAAGAAGAAGTGGACAAGCGAGTAATATCTTCGGACATAATCTAGATAAGATAAACATATTATGATATACAATTTGTCGATGAAATTGGATATTCCGTTCGTTCTTTCGACATTATGCAGTCATGGTTAAAATATTAAGTTGTGCAACGTTTTGTTCAAATCGTCAAGAGATATTTTTCTGTAAATTTTGAAAATGTTGTAAGGGAAGTACCAGAAGTATGGGACCTATATTCCCTATCTTCGAACTTGATCTAAGTATTTAAGCATTTTACGATATGCAAATTTTGAATGAATTCGGTTACTCTCTTCCAGAGTTATCATGCGTACAGCCGAACAGACAGACAGCGGGACATTTGTAAATTGACTCCAAGTTGTCTGAAACGGATTTAGTCCAAAGAAACATTGGGGGTAAAACTAATCTTTCGATGAGGCACATTTTTGCCGTATCGAAGTATATATAAACTCTTTAGACATAAGGCTGATGGTATAAAAATTGATCGGCACCTATATTGTAAATTATCTGCCAGGAAGTTCTTTATTCACAGAGAAAACGAAATACTTTGACTGGAAAAAATAACTAATAAGTTGCGGAATTTTCGTGTCAAAATATGAACCTATATTGAATATTTTTTTGAAAAGGTCTTTTTTGTGTTCCAAAACTCCAGTTAGCCAAATTAGAGCTACATAGGTTGGGAAATGTTTAAAGGACCATTAAAATACCTAGAACTTACTTTGACAATGAGTTTTTGTTATCAACAAAGAACCTCTGAGAAAATTAAATGCCAATGTACAGCTTCTTCGATTAAAAAAGTGTCCGGAATCATCAAGATACTTTAATTTGACCTCCATTGTTTTAAGGGAATAAGACAAAATATTATATAATAATAAGATCGAGGACTACGTCAATACATAAACGTAAATAGTAAATTGCCAGTAGTTTTTAGCCCTTCGAGAAAACGAAATGTCAAATTATAGACACTATGGTTCAAAAAATGCAACTATAAATCTTTAAAATACCGAAAATGGGGTGGTACCTTAATTTTGGGATTTATATTGAAAATGCTCCCCAAAGAGGATGTTTACTCGATATTCCGTTACTTTGATTGTAAAATGCGGCAAAAAATCAAAATGCGGAAAATATATAAATATCCTTATATGGGGGGACTATACAAAAAACTGGATCCATATTAAACATTATCTATCAAGAATTTAGAATGTTTAGAATGTCCTTGGGAAAATGGGCCTGGAATCATAAAAATATCTTAAAGTGGTGTCTGACCTTCATATGGAGACTAGGTGAAAACATGAACAGATGTCGACAACTTTCAGTAAATATGCTTTCCACAATCCAATTCAATTGAAAAATGTATCTGGATATCGAAAAAATGGCAGGATCGTTAGTTGGGGGGTTTGGGCTATACCAAAACGTGAATTAATATGGAAAATTTTCTGCAAAGAAGTTGCTTACATACCCACAGCCCCGAATGCCAAATTATAGTGACTTTAAAATGAGCCAATGATCCAGGGTGCGCAAAAATTCGCTCGCGAATGATTCAAAATACATTCTTTTCGTTATGTGTTCATTTTACGAATGAATTTATGGCGATAAATTCTTTACCAAACGAGCATTCGCCAAAGAATGTTCGCACACCCAAACGAGTGAGAGCACACAACAACGTTCGTTCGTTTCGTTTGGTGGTTGAAATTCTTTCTGACATTCTCTCTCGAATGAAAACCAACATTCCCGAATTCTCGCGAATGCTCAAAACGGCAACAACAATAACAATAAACGTTCGTGAACTCAATAGTTGTTGGACATGTGTTTTGTTATTCCACACACTTTCTGCTTACTTTTGTATGATATTTTTTGTTTGTTGTTGTTTTTAACAGTGCTCGCGAGCATTCGCGAACATTTGTTTTTTGAGTTTTTCAAAAGAATGTTCTTCTGCAAAGAATGCTCGCGAAAGAATGAATCGACGACGCTTGCAGCGAAATTTTATTGTTCGCGAATTTTTCGTACAATGCGAACATTCGCGAAAGATTGCAAATGCTTGGTCATTCTTCGTAACTTTATCATTCGCGATAAATTGAAAACATCCAAATTCTCGCCCCTGAGCATTCGTGAGAAAGAGCGTATTTTAATCATTTTTCGCACCCTGCCTTCAGCGAGTTGGTCTGTGTCTCATCTTCAAAAAATAAATAAATAAACCAGTGAGCGGAGCAGTATAGTCGGACGGGGCCGATAATATAATACCCTACACAACTTCCACGAAAATCTAACTTAGCGTTATTTGCACCCTCTTGAAACCTGACTAAAGGTCAACAAATAATACTAATATTCAGTAGAAGAGGGCTATACTTGTCCAGATTCTTTTTGCCGTGGGTTATGTTGTGATGTTGGGCTTTCAATTGTGGCCTATAGATCGACTAAAAAAAACACAAAATCTTAAGTTTTCGGTCCACTTCATCCCAAAATTATTATGTGATCATCGCAGAAATTTATAGGCGTTGTCCTTGAGCATAACTGGAATCTCATGGAAATTTTCAAAGCGATCAACGCTATATTTCCGCCCTCTAGGTGGTTTTGGATTACTAAATAATGTCTGAATACGTAAGCACCTGTAAATATTTAAGTGTAGCTCCCACATCTGTGTACATACGACCATATCATTGGTATCAATTTAAAGGTCAACCACTCCTCTTGAACTTACTATCAACTTTTGGGTCTAGGTCCTTCAGGGGCAAATATATACGCCATAGAATACAAATTTTGTCATTTTTCACAAAAAAGTCGAGATCCATTTGAA